TGTATGTGTTGTAGAAGAGTATTGATAAAGTGTCCTAGTGACTGGATAGAGATGAGCCATGGGTTTGCTGGTTTGTCATATTGGATGTTGATTGTGTGAGCAATTTGAATAAGGTGGGCGGTAAAGACCTCACTTAAAAAAAAAAAAAAAAAAAAAAATCTTACAATAATCGCGTAAAACATATTCATGTACAGTACATAGAAATTTGTTTCTTGACAAGAACAACTTTAATGTTGGTTTTTTTGTACAATGACTGCAATTAAGTCAATTTTCTCAAGTCCTTACCGAGATGGCTTTTTTTTGTGAAAAAAAATGGCATTTCGCTCAAAGAGTTGCCTAATCGTTGATTACTGTACTGTATTATACAATATTAAATCAGAATTAAACTGCTTATAATGATAATTATTCATAAATTACCTGTACATAGTTTAGAAACCTTCAGTAACTATTGGAAAGCTTGTCTGATGTTACGAACTTTACAATCGCAAATTGCATCATCAATTACATGCTAAGTGATATAATATAATATAACATAATAATAATTTATTAACTAATTGTGTTAAAAAAGCACTTAAAGTTATTCTTCAATCGGTGGAGATTAAAAAATAACACGTGTCGATTGAGAATCAACGATAGACGCAGAACATAAATAAGACCGGGGAATAAATTCAAAAACATATATAGTTCAATTATTGATCGGTGAAAATCTAAAAAGACACTTGCCGATTCCAAATCGACGGGAATCAATGAATGACACAATAAAATGGTTCGAGCTCTTAAGTTAATCCTCCTTTATTATATATAGTAAATAGAGTGCAAGAATAATAGGCTAGGTTTTCATATTATATGAGTGTCGTTAAGGGAAAATCTGTCATCGGGATTCAATTATATTTTGTGTCTAAAGCTTTGATCGAAGTTATCTCAACAACCACTGCATTAAACTCGATGAAAATTTTTTGAATTCTACTGATATGTAGAATTTGAATAAAAAAAATTTCATCAAATTCGATGCAATGGTTGTTGAGATAACTTCGATCAAAGCTTTAGACACAAAATATAATTGAATTACGATGACAGATTTTCCCTTGACGACACTCATAAAAAACGTAATTCGATAAAATACGCATTCATCTCAGTATATATTTTCGTTAAAATTTGTTCGCTTTTGTTTGTGGAAGAGATTCATATTTGTTTCGATTCTATCGGCGAAGAATTTTATTAATACAGGAAAATTATCAATTAGTTCATTAATAAAGATTAGATCTTTACAAATTTTCTTGAAATGTTTGACAACAGCAAAAAAGTTGAACAGGAATCTGATAATTTAAAATGAAATTATTTTGTTATTGGCATAAAAAGCTGCTAGATCATAATATTATTTGCATAAACCTGATACATATATATTTTTCGAATGTGCCAGCTTCGCCACCTTTCGTCAGTTTCATTTTACTGTTTCGAGATTTTAAGTGATGAAAGATGAAACTTGGATTCGTGTTTCATCAACCCAATACCTCCAGGTTTCGTCTAAAAACTATATATCTAATCAAATCGTAGAAGCTTATTTCACAAACACCTTGTTTCACAGACAATCAATTCATAGACAAATTTATTTTAAAGACAATTAATTTACAGACAGTTCATTTTGTAGACAATCTTTATCACTGATTCAGAAGTTATTTGCTGCTAAAGATTGTCTACAAAATGATATGTCTATGAAATGAATTGTCTGTAAATTAATTGTCTTTAAAATAAACTTGTCTATGAAATGAATTGTCTGTAAATTAATTGTCTTTAAAATAAACTTGTCTATGAATTAATTGTCTGTGAAACAAGGTGTCTATAAAATAAATTTTTATGAAGTGATACGAACCCGATATAATACAGTTCACTATTAGCTCCTAACGTCTCGTTTTAATAAATTTCTCGTGAAATCTCTCGTCAGTTGGATTTTTGAATCTTCAGAATAGAAGCTCGAAGTTTGCATAAAAATATGTAATATTCACAATTTAATGTTATACGAAGCCTTCAATAATTACTAAAAGAATCGTGACAAAATTTACCTATACATTTCTCAGTTTAATGTATATTCTTCAAATGCACTGTATCTTAAAAAATTTTCGATTCGTTAAATAGTATCTAAAGTAATTTTTTAGAGTACATGTATACACTCATGAGAAAAAATTGGGTGAAGATATTGAAAATTAAGTGATTCGGAGGAGTTAGTATGGCATCATCTCAAAGTGATTGCAGAGTGAACGCAGAAAGAGAATGTCTTAGAAGAATAGATGAGAATATAAGAGAGCTGGTTGAATTGAGATCGAATAGATTTTGCTCCCTCATATTAAGACAAATGCGACAGCTCCACTCTCTTCCCAATTATCATAATATTCTTAGTTTTGACCCTAACAAAGATACTAAAGTCTCGACTGAAGTTAGACCTGCATACAACTCTCCTAAATGCTACAGTATTGGTTTGCTTAATTATACATCAGAAACGTACATTTGATATAATGATGGATAATACTTATACTGCACTATGTTTTCTATAGTCCAAGGGATAATAAAAGCTATATTCAACTAATTAAAAACGGTTACGTATCAATATTTGACCATGTAATTCCTAAAAATTGAGTTTGTCGTATGATACATACATACTCTGACGTCACTCGACGTTTATCTGTTGTTAAATTTTTAATAAATTGATTAGCAAAATTACTAATACTTATTCTAAACCTAGTAAGTACGTACGTACGTACGTACGTACTTACATAGCATGCGTAACTTTTTTAATTCAGAAAAGTAAGTTTTTATGTTGTTGCTGTTAGAGTACGAACGTATGTTCAGGAAATTTAAAATGAAGATCATTGTTTTCTATCGGTGCGTTAGTGAGATAGTCAGATAAAGATTAAAGAGTCTTACAAATTGTGTCGTGTGTAATAAAGAATAGTGAGAAGGCTACGACGGAGTAAATTCCTTTTTTGTCTTACAGGACAGGCTATGCAAGGGGCTGACGCAAATGGAAAAAACATTTATTAGAATTAAACTGGTTTCTTTAATTTACGTACGTACTTATGGTAGTTTACTGAACCAGTTTTTAAAAATGACATGATAAATTTATACGGTTTGTTTTACATTATACACACACGTCACTCTGGTTATATACTGACATTTGAATATAACGACATCATAGTAAAATCTTTCTATACCGATGTCAAAAAATTATAATATAAAATGTTGGTACGTATAACTCACTGTATCGATATTTAGAATTTTTTTAACTTTGAAAATAACGGTATAATTAGAATGACGTGTATACATATTAATATATGTAATTTTATTATTTATTATAACTATTATTATTGAGCATAATTTTAAACTCCGAAGTATTGTAATGAAGTGATTATTTTCTGATTAAAAAATAATTTAGTATAGTATAGTTAGTATATATATTTATTTATTGTATTGATTTTACACTATAATATATATGTATAATAAATTTGTTTTTTTATTAATAAAGAATTAAAATAGTATTGTAAAATAAATTATTTATAATTAATAATCAATATATCATATCATTTCCAAAAATGATTAATATACAAATCTATTTCTAAAAATGAAAACAATACTAAAAATTTTTATTTCGTAAAAAAATTTTAAATTTATAGATCATCCAAATTTTTACTTTATTAAAATTAAAATTTTCAGCCCAAAATTTTAAAGTATTACAATATTGTTCTGAATTATTTATATATAATTGATCTTTTTTTTTAATAAAATGATTTTATACTTTGTTATGTCAAAAATTACAATTATCTCTGGTGATCAAACTGGAGTTGAAAGAGCAGCTTTAGATGCTGCTCTTGACAAAAACTTTGATATTGAAGGTTGGTGCACAAAAGGAAGACTATCAGAAGATGATGTCTTACCATCAAAATATACACTTAAGGAATTAGATACTGCTTCTTATCTTGAAAGACATAAAGCAAATCTCAAATTAGCAGAAGAAAAAACATTAATTTTAATGATATCAGGTTTAAAAATTGATGAAAAAACACTTCCTAGTGTTAAAAAAGAAGAATCAAAAACTATCTTTCTTGAAAAAGATTTTAAACAAAACAAAGTTCATATTAATCCACTTATAAAGTGGATTAAAGATGAAGAAATTAAAAAATTATTTATCAGTGGACCAACTGAAAGTAATATCAATGGTGTTACTATTTATGATATAGCATATAATTTTTTATTTCATCAATTATTTAACGAGTTAGAGAACAATCTGCCTTAGATATTTTGATTATACGACATGTTTTAATTTATATTTAGTGTACATCGATTTCATTTATATAATCGTATTTTACTACGTAATTATATTTATTATCAATTTGTCATTGTATAATTCAATAAAGGTTTAAATAAAGTTTAAAAAAAAAACTATAAACGCATCAAGATATAATCTTAAATCGATAAATAAACAAAACATTATAGTTAATCATGTAATTTTTTGAATTATGCCACGTTAGCTTGATATTTTAACTATTATTATTAAGCTAATACGTAGAACTACACGTAAACTTTAAAATATCTAATAATGTGGAAATAACAAGTTATCCTTGTAAATTAACGCTCGATTAAAGACTTTTTTTTTAACTAGCTATATTCATTTTTGTGCTTGTTTGATTAAAATACACTGACATCAATTTAGATTCATGTGTTTACGTGAAATACAATCAATTTCAAACTTTTTTTTTCGTAACAATATACAATGAAACTCGATATAGAAAATGATTATGGTCACGCAAGAAAAGCCCCCGATGACAATCATTTGAGCACATACTGAAGTATTCCATATTTAGGGAACTGAATAATCAGGTGAGAAAATACAAAACATATCTGATAAACTTTAAATTTGTGCATTTAGACCTCGTGAAATAAAAAATTTTTACTAATGTATACTTAAGTTTGTGCTTTTTTTTTTCAAAGTATTATCATCGCTTTTAATTCATGAGCGATGTATGGGAATTGCAAAAAGTGCAAGAATAAAAAATCGCATGTTTTTTGGTGTAAAACGTGTGATTCCGTAAATTCTGTAAATTCCGGAAATGATACAGTCAACAAGTTTTTACATGATGCTTTAGAATCAGCGGGTCGTTACCATAAAGTGATAGAATGGATTCCTTTTGACAGATTAAAAAATATAGAAGAGGTTGGAAAGGGTGGATTTAGTACAGTATTTTCAGCTACATGGATAGACGGAAAAAGAGAGTCCATAGATGAGAAAGGAGAAAAAAGGGAAAAGGAATTAAAAGTTGCACTTAAAATGTTGAGTAATTCTAAAGATATCTCGGATGACTTTTTAAAGGAGGTAATATATTTTCACTCTTTTACTTCAATCTACTTAAATATTTTAAATGATATGATTACAAGATCATGTTTAATTTAGATAAAATATCACCACAAATACTCATCTATAAATTTATATGGTCTTACTCAAGACCCGACTACAAAAAATTACATGATGGTTTTAAAATTTGCAGATAGTGGTAATCTTCGGCAATACATTACATCAAATTTCAATGCCAAAGAATTTAACTGGGAAAAAAAATTGACTTTTTTACGAAAGATAGCTAATGAATTAGTTAAGATTCATAATGATGGAAAAACGCATCGCGATTTTCACGATGGTAATATTCTAATACACAGCAATAACTATCCGTGCATTTCAGATTTAGGATTAGCTGGTCCCGCTAATGCGAAAACTAAAGGAAATGAAGTCTTTGGTGTACTACCTTATGTTGCTCCAGAAGTACTACAAGGACAGCAATATACAACGGCTGCTGACATTTATAGTTTTGGGATTATAATGACTGAATTTTCGTCAGGTGAACTACCCCATCGGGAAGTTCAGCATGATTTTTCCCTTGCTTTGGCAATAGTCGAAGGTTTGCGTCCTAAATTTGGAAAAGGAACACCAAAAATTTATATTGAATTGGCAAACGAATGTATGGATGCAGACCCTTCTAAAAGACCGGAAGCAAGCGATTGTTATGTAAAGTTAAATGATTGGTATAATATATTTAAATTTGCTGGTAGCGAAAGAGAGAGCAAAAATGATATTTTAATAAGAAATGAATTTGAAGCTGCAGATGAAATAACTTCAAATCCATCAAACTTACAAATACATGCGGGTGCCATATACACCAGTCGACTCCTTAGCAAAGCTCTTCATCTCGAAAACCTTCCCGGTAAATTTTTCTGATAATTTTCTAATTTGGAAGTGTTTTTTCTGGAAGAACTCAAATCTGATTTTATAGCCAGACATTTGTTTAATTGGCTAATGTAGATCAATTGCCCAGATAACTTATTTATATATTTTAGAGTACTTCTTGAAAATATACTATTATACTAATAAAATATTTTTATAAAAGTCATTTTTAACTTTAAACAAACATTATTATTCACTATACAAAAGAATAAAAAAAAATCATATTTCTCACCAACTTTGTTTAGAAGGCTAAATATATAACCATTTATTGGACTATAAGGTACTATACTATAAATGAAGATAATTAGAAATATTTTTCATCTAAGATTGCTTTACTATGTTAAATTTAAATAAATATTTATTGTAACTATTTGATTTAAACAAATACCAAGCTCTTTAGTAGAAGAACCAGGTTTAATATTTAAGTTTAGTTGGTTCTTGTAGTAAGTTGGGGTTTGTCAACCATAAATTAGTGTTGGTTTATTAGTTATATATTGTAGATTTTAAATGAATTTGGGTTTATTATGATAGTAATAAATATTCCGTATATCCACTTTAAGCGTTTCAATCTAGCTTCTAAATATTTTAATAAATTATTTTACGTGTATCTTTTTTATATCAAGTTTTTTTCATTTTCTAATATTATTAAAATGATAAACATTTTCAAAAAAATTATATAATTTGATTGGTTAATTATCATGGGTAATCACATGAATGTCTTCACATGAATGCAAAAGTTACGTTTTTGGTTGATCTGCAGTTACTTTTTTGGTAGGTCTAAATTACCCCTAAATTGAGGTGGTATTTTTGATGCATTTCAGCATTTTTTGTAAACAATAAGCAGGTGATATTACACAAACTTGTTACACAATCAATAAAAATTTTTTACGCATAATATACGTACGTACGTACGTGCAATGCAGAAATTAACAATTAAATCTCTTGATTTTTATTAACAATGGATCTCTTTTGATACGCCAAGAATAATACATACTTAATAGCAACTATTATATTCGAAACTTAAATAAACTATTGATTGAAATTTTGATTTTTTGTATGTATCATATATATACGTATATGTACGTACATACAGAAATTGATAATAAAAGCTCAATTAATTATTTATATTGCTTTTACATATTTACCGCTTATTTTATATAGAGGCTATATAGTTCAGATTTAATAATTCAGCATTTATTTATTTATGATTTTAAAATAAGCTTTAGCATATCTTATAAATTATTGGATTCAAATGATGGTTTCGGGTGCATCAATTGCTACTTTAATAAAAGAGATCCTTTGATAATATGCTTGATTGAATTATTAGTTATAGGAGTCACTTAAAAAGAATTAATAAATAAATATTAATAAAAATTACAATAATTGAAACCGATAAGTTTTTTTTTACTTTTACTATATTTACCTAACGATTGAGAATATTTAAAACATGCTGGCGTGCTGCATTAAATTTTTCAATAAATTCTGGAGATTTATCCATAAACTGGTTGGTTTCATTTATAAAAATCTGATTATTGGATGTAACTTGTTGTGATATATCGGCAGGTAATTGTTGACTAATAGTTTCTGAAGTTTCAACAGAAAATTTTGACTTTTTCGGAATATTTTCTTTTTGCTTGCTCTAAATAAAAAAATTTTTTTTAGAATTTTTAATGAGTTTAAAAAAAAGCTTATAGACAATTACCGTATGTTCGCGTTTAGCTTTCCTAATATTCATTGTTTTTCTTTTTTGTTCTGATGGAGAAATTCTATTACTTTCATTATCAGAAACTGAATGTAGTATACGACTAGGCTTATGCGGCTTGGCAGATAATTTTGCAGGTGACCCATTAGTTGATAATTGTTGTTGATTTAACTCTAATAGTCTAAAAGGATCATTACGAATGCTTGGTTTATTTTTTGAATAGAAGATACGTGCACCTAGAATAATAAGTTGAATTAGTCTAATTTTCAAAGATTATAATATGGATAATAAAAATTGTATATACCTTCAGAATTATATAACCTAATTATTTCTTGATATGCAACTTCCATGGATCCAGAATAAATTAAATTATTCTTTTGATCTGGTGGAATTGTTCTCTCTTTATTCTTAAAGTAACTTACAAAATTTTCCTTTGTTTCTTGTATAACTTTTGAACAATTTCCTTGTGAAAAAATCCATGCAGCATGACAATGCTTACATACATCATAGAACGGGCCATTCCAGATATAGTCCAGATATAATGGGCATTCGCCAGTAATAATATTCGTGATATAAAACCCGTCTCGAAGCTTAACTTCATAATTCTTAACTAGCTGTTGCATCATTGGCTGGAAATAATTAACATGTTCTTTTTCCATTTCTATATACTCATCATTATCAAAAGAATCAATTATAATGTTTGATTCACATAGTTTTTTAATATAATAGAAATTTGGGTGACTAGATGGTTCAACCAAACCCATCAAAAAATATAGTCTTCCATGATTCAAACGTCGGTTCATAGTAGGTGTTATTTTATTAGATTCAGCTTGCTGCAATATTAAACTTTTTATTAATAAAATTTTTCTATCTGTGTTATATAATAAAATCTAGTAATATAAAATTTTATACCTGTTCAATTGATTGTGCATTAAGAAGAGTAACCAGTCCAGCTTCATAAATATTTCTATTTGTCCCTTCAGAATGGAGATTTTCGCGTAATAATTTTATTCCATAGAGTCGTTCAATAAATGTAACAACTGTCTGTTTTTCTGTTAATTGTGATTCAATTGTTCTGTTCATCCTTTCAGTGTAATTATTAGTAGTCAATGGATTTCGTATATTAGAACTAATAGGAAGACGGCCGGCATCAATAAATTGCATTCGCCATTCGTCACATATTCAATTATTTTCTAAGTCTTTAATAAGTGACAATTTTTGATTTAAATCAAGAGAAAGAGAATCAATAAAATTCTTATAATGAGATGCCATTTCAAATGCATCCTCTTCAGTGCGACAACGGCCCACAAATTTAAATCCCAATACAATCTGGTACCTTAAAATTAATATTTAAAAATAGTAGTAAAAATGTATTTAGAATAAATATACTAATAAAATTTGAAGACTAACCTAAGTGAATGTGGAATATTCCACGATTTTAAATTTTTACCAAATGACTGCATTATGTGAAACCAACAGAGAATAGTTCCACGAACAATTCCTTCAACTCCAAGTTTACTTGGCCAATGTTTGTCTATCATTACAAGCGGATTCCAGAGTTGATTAGAATTACAATCACGTATCCTTTGAAATCTTTTTTTATTCGGAAGTTCTTCGTAATGCCACAAATGTTCACATAAAGGATTAGTGCAAGGTATGTTATTTTTAACAGCAGTTACAGCTAATCTTATTGTCCAGTTGTTTTCCTTATTACTTAAACCTAATTATAAATTTGAATTAATGTTATTAGTAATTTGATTCCGCTTACAACATTTATAAACTAAATATTAAATATTAAATTTATACCAAAAGCTAATGGCATTCCATGCCCAGTATTATTTTCAACAACCATAGTTAGAATAGGAGCACGATCAATGCTAAGATCATATTTTCCATCGATTCCAAAATAATACTGCCCAAATTTTCGACCGTTTCGTAGCTAAAATTCATCTGATACAGTTAATTGATAGTAATGTTCAGGAGAATCCTCAGGCTTTGACAAGTCTGGTTGCTGATAATATAAAACGTATCCTTTTGGTTTTAACTCTTCCTCAATTAAGTAATGAAGTATTGTCTATGAACCTGAATAGTCTTTTAACCGTCTGTCCTCATGAACTATAAATCATTTCAATTTTGAATTACTACATATCTCATGGCTATTTGACAATGCATTATTCAATTCTTCTTCACAAGCACCATTTAATGAAGCCAATAACTTTCCTTTAATTCCTTTTGTTGTTCGATGATCTGCACGGCGACTAATGATAATTTTATCTCGAGTTTCCCGTATCAAATTAATTCTTGATATTTTTGGAACCACAGTGTTTATTACATTTGAAGGAAGATGTACACCTTCTATTTTAATTCGAAGTAGATAGTTTGAATTAAGGTAAGATAATCGTGAAAATGAATTAACACGAACAGAGCAGCGATGCATATCATTTCCATTTCGTAAGTTATTATGCAAGCCATAGTTAGAACAACTAGGTAAACATGTTCCAATCCCTCCATATTTATGTTGGCAATTATTTCCATCACCCGCACAAAACATAATCCATGACCAACAAAGTTTATCTTTTTTAAGCCCAGTTCGAATTTCTTCTACATATTCATGACCTTTGGCCGTAAGTTTGATAATATCATCAATTCGATTAGTTGATTTTTTGCTTCCAGCAGCCTCCCACTCTATAAAATCAGCAGCACTTTCAACACGACAAAGTGTAATCAATCCTTCTTTTATTAGTTGAAGTGTTTGTAAACATCTTTGAGACTTTAGGCGAGTATTTTTTAAAAGAGGATGATTTAATATATATGATTCAGCTACACGCCCAAAAGGGACGGAAACAGTATTGTCTTCATTAATAATTATCTGATTTTTCAAAGTCATCATCACAATTATTCTTTAATTAATATATATAACGGTGTAAGCACAATATAAGCGACAGTGTAATACAGTATAAGTGACAGTATAAGCAACAGTATAAGCGACAGTATAAGCAACAATTTAAGCAACAGTTTAAGTGACAGTATAAGCAAGTTTAAGCAACAGTGTAAGCAACGGTGTAAGCAACAGTGTAAGTGATATAACAGTATTAAGCAATGGTTCAAGTAATAGTATAAATAAAATGTAAGTGACGGTGTAAATAGAATACACTTTGCCAGAAATATATATTATATAATTTGTATGTTATTAAAATACAATACTGGAATTAAACATCGTTAAAAAAAAAAGAAAAAAAAAATTTTTTTTTAATTTATATACAAGGTCGATCGTTATGTCATATATGTGTCA